TCACTACACATTGTAATTGCTAACCTACTACCTTCATTTTTTAAAGCCCTCCTTTACGTTTATTTCCTGCGCAGCATGCTGCGGGAAATAAATGAGAAAGGGGGGCCGATTCAAATGACCCTTAATCCGGGCGCCCCCCTTTTTTAATTTTTAAAAAAAATCAAAAAGGGGGGGCTTTTAGTTATAAGGATCCCTGAAGGTTAATTTTTTTTTTATCAAGAACCGGCTTTCCCGGCGACTAGAGTACACCTTACAGCATTAAAAATAAACACTGAAGAACCGTCTACTCGTTGCTCTTTTACAGACACCAAAGAATGGTATCTGATTTAGATCCGCGATCACCCATTTTTCTTTCGTCTATCTCTAGTGATATTACCTTACCCCTGGTCATTAACAGGGCCAGCTATCAAGTTTCCTTGTTAACTTTGGTTACTAGAGCTTTAGGGCTTCCCCGGAGTTTGGCTCTTATACACAAATTAAAGTTGCCTATACTCTATTCATGTTACTGTATTCTGCCGCTTTTCGTTTACTCTTGAGTCCCGAAAGCATGCAGTACTAGTTTCAAAAGCGTCCCCCCCCCGGTTGCGAAGCTACCGGGGGGGATGCAGCCCTCTTTTTTTTGAAAAAAAAAGAGGGCCGCTCTAAAGATGTTCCAGCATATAGTGAAAAGAAAGTAGTATATTACTATACTACCCGGCCATGCCTTAGTATTAATAATCTGGTAATGTATTTAATACTATATGTTAAATATAATATACAATAATGTATATTCTTCAGTGCTAGAATTTAGGTAAGTAAATTTCCACTTATCTCCCTTATTGAATTCAATTCATTAACCCACGTCTTATATTCATTAAGACCCCCCCCCCCCAGCTAAGCAGCCCCCCTGGGTGGCGTGAGCAGAGCAGCCGACCAATAAAAAAAAAATAAAAAAAAAATATATTTTTTTTGATTTTGTGACCAAGGCTGAAGTAACCAGGTCGCAGATCGACCGGTCTGCATGCTAGGCCAGGGAGGAGGATAACGACCAGGTCTGCAGCCACCCCCTACCACTATTCAGGAGCCGGCCGGTTGCTAATTTTTTTAACAAGTTAAAAAAAGTGCGGGGGGTTCTTAGACCTGGTCGCTAGCTTCGCAGCAGGTTGCATGTTGAAACCCCACCCCCCCGCTCGCTCGGCCGGCCGGCTCCACCCCTCTGGGTTCGGTAGGTTGAAGGGCAGCGCTGTTTACACAAGCAGGGCTAACGAAGTTGGGCAATAGATAAAATATTTAACCTTGATATACATAAGCCGAATTCTGTTTAGTTGATTAAACTGTTAGTCTAATTAAAGCTTATCATAGGATTCTTATTTCACTATCAATAGAGATAAAAGGCATTTACATTTATCTCTATGCTTATATTTTCTTTTTAAATCCAGGATTTTTATCCTTAATTACCGCATAATACTGTTATGTTTATATTTGCTTAGTGGATTGCCACAATAAGAAAATAACTTATATGATTAAAAAGCACCGGACTTTCCATTATATGTAACAATTAATAATTGTTTCAATACATCAACAACGTAAATCTAAGGTAAAGGTATTGCTCACAATTTTTATTCAATTGTCGACCAAGGTGGGGTTATTGTTTGTAAATATGGTCTTGTTTTAGGGTTTAAGGAATAAACCCCCCCCCCCCGGCTCCCGGCTCCGGCCGGCTCCGTCCATTTTCTGCTGCGAAGCTAGCCCGAAAATGGAGCCTAAAAAAATAAAAATTTATTTTTTTTTAAGTGGGCTTCGCCTGGTGAGAGAGGAGCCGGGGGCCTTGTGGCTCCACCTGTTCCCCCCCCCTGCATGCAGGCTGCATGCAGGCCAGTAATAAAAAAAAATAATTTGATTTTTTTAACCGGCTACGGGGAAATACCCTGCTTGCTGCATGCATGCAAGCATGCAGACCTGGTTGGCGCAGGGGTAAAGATTTATCTTAAGGGCACAAAGTTAAAACCAGTTAAAAGAATACGCTAATTATATGGAATATTTTTTTATTGTTTTCGGCATCCCTTTACTATTTAATGCAGGCTCCCCTCTCGTCTAACTACTACTTAAATTTAACTCCTCCAGCGGAGCCGGCAGCGTCCCTCTCCCCCCCCGCCTCCCCCTCCTACTACTCACGTAGTACGGATGGGGAGCCGGGGGGGTAAAGAGGGAGAGGAGATGCAGCCGCTCTTCCCTCCCCCCCCCCTCTCAAAGAGAGAGTGGGGGGGAAGAGCCGGCAGCGTCCGCGCGCGGCGCGCGCGAGATGCAGCCTCCCTTCGGGGGCAGCGTCCGCGCGCGGCGCGCGCGAGATGCAGCCTTCCTCACCCCCCCCCCCTAGGGGGGTGAGGAAGGCAGCTCTTTATATTTTTTAATAATAAAATAAAAATAATAAAGAAAAAATATGATGTAGGGGCCGGCTCCGTCCACTCGTTGGCGGAGCCATGCAAGCGGCCCAGCACCTTGGTCGGGGCCTTCGTTAGCCCCGGAGCCAAAACCGAGCCTTGACCTTGACAGTTCCCTACATGCACTCCATAGGGGCAAGGTCATCATACGGATAAGACGAAGTCGCATCCGACTAGCCTGGCCATGTGGAAAAGGGAGTGGGCGTATAATTGTATTTCGAGTTTAAGGGGGGGGTGGCAGCCTTTTTGTTATTATCGTTACCTACCTTTACATACTATGATATTATTTACCTTGGGATGCGAAGCGGCCCATGAGACTGAAGATGAATTTAACATATGCAGCATATTGTTGACCATAAAAAAAAGTAGGGTCGGCCTCGTCTTCTTACGTTGACTGCCGCCCTCCGAACCGTACGTGATAGTCTCCCATCATACGGCTCTCCAGTTCCTATCTTGGAATATCCTCTAAAGCGTCCCCCCCCCGGCTCCCCCGGAGGGGGGGGGGGATGCAGCCCTCTCTCTCTCTCTAAGAGAGAGAGGGCCGCTTATTAGTTATAAGTATACTATTCCGTCACGCTCAGGTTAAGCCTTTTTGTCCACATCGTTACCTTTTTCTTTAGTTTTGGATTTAGATATTTTTTGAATATCTCTCTTTCCTTCTAAACTCCTCCCCACTTATTTATTAGGCCGGCTCCGTCCTTTTTCATACCCCCTAATATGTCCCCCCCACCTCTCTTAATATTTTTTAATAATAAAATAAAAATAATAAAGAAAAAAATATGAGAGAGGGGGGGGGGGGGGCGGCTCCCCTTATTTATTAGGCCGGCTCCGTCCACTTACGTAGTAAGTGGATGGCCTTCGCCTGGTGAGAGGGGGGGGGGGGGAGCCTCAATTTTAAGGGCGGAGCGGCACACCACGTGTGTGGGGGGGGGGAAAAGCGAAAAATGGAGCCGTGGCCTTCGCCTGGTGAGAGGGAGGAGCGGCGCTACATGTACCTTTGTGTAGAACTATGTGGTGATCTTTACATAGGGGTATCTGTTTACGATTAATGGCCTCCATTTGTCTTGTATAGAAATCTAACTTTGAATTAGGGTCTCTCAAATTCTTAATTTTACGTACATGGTGCATTTCCACAGAGCGGCCCTCTCTCTCTTCGAGAGAGAGAGGGATGCATCCCCCCCCCCCCGGTTGCGAAGCTACCGGGGGGGGGGACGCTTTCGCTACCGCATATAACACACTGTTGGAAAAGATTGGATTTGGTGAACTTATTATTTCAGACAGTTTACAGACTTTTAAAAGGGTCTGTGACTGTTTTAGTACTGCTCATGATGCTCTTCTTCTTTAAATCTGCGGGCTTAAAGATTGATACTCTCTTGACTACCCCATTTTTCAATGTAATGTCGCATCCCAAATCCTTTCCGAATTTTCGATAAGTCTTCATCATTGTTTTTAATTTGAATTTTCTTGCTAATGTTAGACAGCATGATTCGGTTAGTCTTCACATTACATGGGCTAATTCACTCATGTTGTTTACAAAATTATAATAGTGGTATATACCACTCATCACTGAGTTGTAATATCTGATGATATCTGCATGCTCTAGATTAATTAAGTTTCCCTTGAATGTTCCTCTGTAAATTAAAGATTTTCCGTTATCTTGGTCAACTCTTTTTCGAATGAATCCGCTAGTCTCTAATTTTTTTCACACCTTTGCCGAGTCCATAGCTACTCTAATTCTAATCTTATTTCTACGGGTTATGGTTCTGTCACTTTTTTTCTCTTTCAATGTTTCCATTGGCTTGATAGCTCCTTTTTTATGCGGTGGCATGAGTTTGTAACCTAAAAAGTCTACAGCTTTATCTGAGAATTTAGTAATCCCCGTTTTTGAGTCGTTTAGTTTTAGTCCTAGTACTTCCTCAATAAACTTTCTTAGCCTTTGCAGGATGTTGTGTGTCAATTTATGGCTACCTTCAACCCCGATTATAAAGTCGTCTGCATAACGTACATAATGGATTCTGATGTATGATTCATCTTGTCTCTTGCTTGGTGTGTTAAGCATTTTTGACGTTAACTCACGGTGTTCGTCAGCCCTTGTAGTATCATAGCCCATTTTTCTACCCCTCCCACCCCCCAGGGGGTGGGAGGAAATGTATTTTATTTTATTTCCCAGCCTCTCGTATTCCTTGTTTTTTTTACGTCTTTCTCCCTTATTGTACTCCAGTTTTAATTCCTCTATAAAGACGTCCAACTCATGGAGGTAGATGTTACATAATAGTGGGCTTAATACCGATCCTTGCGGTGTACCGTCGCCGAGTTGCTCATGTAGTTTACCTAGTTCGACGAATCCAGCTTTTAGGCTGGATATTATCAGCCGTAACGTTTTTTCACAGTTGATTCTCTTTTTGAGTATTTCCATGAGCGTCGCGCGCGCTACGCGCGCGCGATGCATCTCCCCTCCTCCGGAGGGGGGACGCTTGTTATGAGGTAGCGATTCGTAAGGCAGTTTTGAGAAGTCCGCTTCAATAATATAATGTACACTTTGGAATTTGGCTTCTAAATATTGTAAGGCTGTTCTAGTACCTTTGTTAGGTCTGAATCCATGAGACGATTCCATGAATATTTTTTCATATTCTGGTTCCATGACCATCTGCATGGCCTTTTGTACAACTTTATCCCTAGGGGCTGCTATTGTTAAAGGTATCGTCTGCTTTTTCCCAGGGTTAGGTATTTCTACTCTTATGGCCGGTGGGAAACTGTATGTTCCAGCTTTCAGTTCTGCCTGAGTCTTCTCAAAGTATTTCAGGTTTATTCCATCCAAGGTGATTTCTCCAATCCCTTGGGTCATATTTACAGGGTTACTCTTGATTAACTCATACGCTGAAACTAGATTTTTAATATTAGCTATTCTTTTCATACTTATTTCTTTAAAACTTTTTGAGTAGGGTGATTTTTTTATGTCGCTGCCACGTTTCGCTTGGTTACCCAAACCGGCTTTTGACGTAAACGTCCTTACACCCAGATAAGAACCTGTTGTCCTTCCGAGAAAATCTCGTACTACGACAACTCCGTCACCACCCCTTAAGGGTCCCAACGAGCGGCCCTTCTCATCGGGGCGCGCTGCGCGCGCCCCGAAGAGAAGGGCTGCATCCCCTCTCTCTTCGAGAGAGGGGACGCTTTTGACCCGTAGGTTCTTAGGAGCCATTACTGGTTCCCGTAGGTGATCCCAAAGTTCCCCGTTTTGGAATGTTATATGTTGATCCTTGCATACGTTTTGACCACTCTGCGTGTTGTCATGTAATATATTTGCCTCTGCGATATAGCTAATGATATCCATATCGAATATTACACATTTGCCCTTGGTGTAGTTTAGCAAAAGGTCCCATCAATGACTGACTGTATGTGTCAAGTTCGTTAACCTAAACTCCATATAACTTAGTTGAGGCATACGTCCTAGGAATCCTACACGATTCCCATTTATACCCTTTTCATAGAGCTTAGCTGTTTGAGTTTCCTCGTAGGGTTTGGCCCTACCAGCCTCTATGCACTTTACCTGGCAGATTGCATCCAGGATCTCATTACGAGACATCCAAGAACCGGAGCGCATTGGCGCACTCATTAAGATCGCGTGGGAAGTAATTATACTGTTGTATAGCTGATTATCAGCTATAAACTGAACACCTGGCCCAGATAATTCTAATCTGATTAATACCGAGTATGCTGTCCCAATTAACCCTGAAAATAAAGCAAAAATAAGATATAATGTAGGGGTCAGCTTACCTATGAAACTGCCCTCAGAACCGTACGTGATAGTTTCCCATCATACGGCTCGCCATAAGGTATACTTCTAGCTGTAAAACTAGAGGTCAGGTCTGTTATTCTTTGAAGTGGTTGGCTAGGTTACCTGAGTATCTAGCGATTAGTTTCATTTCGTAGTCTAACAGTCTTCCTCCATGATAACCCCCCCTCTGAATATTTTTTTAATAATAAAATAATAATATAAATGATACGGCCTGCGGAGCAGGGCGGGCGTAAAAAAATATGATGTTGGGGCCGGCTCCGCCCACTCGTTGGCGGAGCCATGCAAGCGGCCCAGCACCTTGGTCGGTCGGGGGGGGCGGGGCAGGGAGTGATGATATTGGCAAAGGGGGATCTGTTTTCGACCAAGGCCGGAAGGCCCCTTGTCAAACTTTGAATGTTGTTGTTCGGGACGCGATTTTGGCTTTTACATCTTTAACAGCACGTATGTGATGCATCTGAATGTTGTTCGTAGTACCACATAATAAACACTCTTTAAATAGATTAGTTTTAGTTAATCTACTGTATCAAGTTTGTTGTAAGATCTTCTCCGTTGGAGTTAGATTTACCTTGATATTGTATTGGTGCACTGTGGGTAGAGATTTGGGAGCCAACAGTCGTAGACCTGTTTTGGGGTCCTCTAGAAGAGGTCCAAAACGTTTAAAGGCTGCTCTAGCAGAATTTAACTTGTATTTTCTTGCTAGGGTTTTTGCCAGGGAGAGTCTGGCAAAGATTCAGATCAGGTTTAGACCTTTAACTCTGTTTGCGGCGAATGTGTAGTAATTGATAATACCGTTTATTTTGGCGTTATAGAATTGGATGATTGTAGCGTGATCCGCATTAACCATTGTAGTATATGGTTTAGCAACAATATTGCGGAGTTTGTCTCTTTTCGCGATTCCGGCCTTTATAAGTTTCTCCAGTAACTCAACTGTGGGCATATTAACCCTTATTCTTACTTGAGCCCTCATAGTGATTGGAGCCCCCGCTACGGTTTTGTTTTTCATTCTATAATCGTTATTAGCCAGAGTTCTTATCTTTGCTCCCAGGAAGTTAAAGCCGCCCCCCTCCCGGGGGGCTGCAAGGGGTGGCCCTTCGGGCCCCCCCTCGCTTTTGGTCATATGAGTTATTACCGTCTTCTCGGTATTTAACTCTAGGCCACATTCTTCATACAGGAAAGTTTTTATCTTTTCTTTTATGTCGGCTATTTCGGATTTTGGTCCTTCGAACAGGATCACGAAGTCGTCGGCATATCTAATATACATGGTTCTTCTGAAGTCCTTGTCGTAAGGATCCATACGAGGTAGTGTCCTCATCATCTCGAGTGCTTTTTTGCGTTCCTCTGGTGTGGCTTCCCTATAATATTTCTTTCTTGGCTCTCTAACTACCGCCAGTGCGTTGTATAAAGGGTTCGTTTTTCTTCTCTTCCCTTTAGTATTCTCAGGGAGGATGGTATTTATCATGTACTTGTCGAATTCGTGCAATACGATATTTGCAAGGAGTGGGCTAAGCACGCTACCTTGTGGAGTACCTATGTCGCTCCGTACTACTCTCTTAGTTATAGGGTCCAAATGGCCAACTTTTAAAGATTTGTTCACTATAGTTAGAAATCTTTCGTCCTTAATTTTCTCTTTCAGCAATTTCATAATCACATTATGAGGTATTCGGTCAAAACATTTTGAGATGTCACCTTGGATTACTCATGTATGATGATGTCCTTTCAGGTAGATAGGTTTAAGGGTGCTGGGGGTTGATCTGTTTGGTCTGAAACCGTGAGAGCAGTCCAGGAATTCAGGTTCGTATATTGCTTCTAGTATTACCTGTAGTCCCTTTTGGACTATTTTCTCCCTTGGAGCCCCTACTCCCAAAGGTCTTTTCTCCTTCTTTCCGGGTTTGGGTATGAGAACTTTCCTTGCCGGGGTAAAGTTGAAGCTACCATTTAGGATTTTGGCTGCCGTGTTCTCGAATCATTCGTATTCAATTCCGTCTAGGGTTTCTTTAGTGATTCCTCTGCTCATATTCCCAGGTTTTCCCTTTATCAGCATATAACATGTTTGTAAGAACCCTGGATTAGCCAGGATTCGTATTATTCCGTTATATTTATCGTCTGGTGTTTTAAAGCCAGTCAGTAGGTCTATTACAAACGTACGTAAGTTCGGGCTGTTGACCTTATTACGAGACCCTTGCTTGTCAACTGAAGATCCCTTACTGTTCCCCTTCGTCACCTTGGGATTCGGATTTTTTGGATCCGGACTACTATGGGAACTCCGTCCGCGCTTTCTGGGTCCACCAGTAGAGGCGCTTAGATCCGACGGTTGCAACGTGTCGCCGTTTTTGTTGTTAGATTCGGGATTATTCTCCTCTAACTTGGTATTGTCTGATTTAGATTCTTGCGCATGTGTCATATTCTGACTCTCTTCATTAGAGTGACTTCCGGCTTTTTGGCTACACAGATAGTAGGAACAACCTATATGTGCTTTGAATTTACCGATCAAGTACCGTGATATCCCGATTAAGATACTTAGCCTGATTCATGGCAGTCCATACGTCCATCTCGCGATGACAAGTTTCTTATCGTAATCATGTCAGACCTCCTTAACGAATGTGTTCAGCGATAGCGGGATGCCACCGTATTCGCATTCTGCATCTGCTATAACGTTATTATTGTTCTTAGCAGATAATAAGTCGATGCAGTAGGACAAGAATCGTAAGGATAGTTCCCTACGACCAATAATTCTTGAAGATGTATACCAAATTACATCTAAAACGACAACGAAGCCTCGCGCCGCGCACGTCCCTATATCTTTCGCATTACAAGATAAAAACCATCGTTCTGTTCACAACGAAATATGCTTATCGATTAATAATTTATTTACTTTTACTCTTTGATAATAATGTATTTAAACTAATTAATATTATTCTTTTGGCATTTAAAGCCCTAAATTTATTTTTTTTATGAGGACCAATGGGCCATGCAGAAAGGTATGCACGACCGGTCAAAGAGCAGCCTTGGTCGCTAAATTTAGTGCATAAAAATTTTAGCACGTGCCTCCCTCTCCCCTCTCCAGTGGGGCCACAACATGCGTTGCGACCAGGTTGTGGCCCCACTGGAGGGAGGGGTCTGAAAAGAGGAAGGTTGCTCTCCTGCAGGCATAAAAATTGTTGAAAGATTTTCACCATATCGCCGATATTAGACTTTTTATTACTATTAACTTGACAGATTTTGACCCTTGAAATCCTTACAGAGTTTCAAGTATTATGGAAGTATTTGAATGGATTATAAATTAGTTATAAAGAAAAATCTTATAGACATTAAAAAAATAAGTTGGCCCCTATCAGCAAGGCGGGAATAAGTACTGCGAATAATAATATGAAACTTTGGAGCCTAAAAAAAAAATTGTAATTTTTTTAGGGCAGTAATTTCCTAACCCATTAGCTTGAGAAGATACAAGATAATAACGTGTTTAAGAAGTTTATGTTAATGCGGAGCAAGGGGTCCAAGAAGAAAGGACAAGGGAAGAAAAAAAAGGCTAGCCGGGAGAGAAAGTTGAATTCTCATTATTAATGCATGAAATTAACGTTCTAACCTAAATTGAACTATCCAGGCTGAGTTTCCTCCCCTGTTCTTGGGGCTAATACCACACAGGCCTGCTAAATAATGGTTGGGTACTGTAAAGGACAAAGACAAAAAAAAAGGACTGCATGCAGTCAGTGGGAGGTAGGGTGCGCTGGCCGTGGCCGTGGGTGGTGGGAAGATATCTTTATTCCCAATAGGGTTTACGCACCACTTCTCTTTCTGATTAGGTATATGGTCCGTAAAGGTTTTCTTGGGATATGAACTTAAGATAGTTGCATGAGAAACACCAAGCTCCCTTGCTGTTGCACGAACTGTGATATTTCTAACATGGGGCGGAGCCCGCACCTCTTTCCTTGTTAGTAACCTAACCACATCTCCTGTAGCTGCTCGTTTAGCAACCGGGTCGTGTTACCTCAAAGGATTTCACAGCGACTTTCGCAGCTCTCATTCTAGCCACTTGCTCCTAAGTAAACTCACGTTCTTTTAATTTACCCTGGGTCTCTTCCTCCTCCCTCCCCCCCCCTTGTTGTTCCCCTGCAGGGAAAAAGAAACTTGGGATGTAGTTAAAGCCTAATGATGGGTTAAAAAATATATTTTTTTTCACCCGCTGATACCTGTAAAATATTGTTCCGCCACCCCCTCTGGGAGCGCAGCCATTTAAGAGATCAATATAGTGTTGCTCTCTCTTTTAATTAAATCCGATGGATCACAATACTCCAATATTTATCGTAGATGCGATGCAGCCGCAAAGTTTCCGGCTGCTTAGCTGGACCTTGACAAAATTTCTTTTTAGGTTTAGTTAAATCGCTCGCTCTGTACCCATACCTTTTTTTTTTAATTTCCACCGTAGTTGCTCAAAGGATTTGCTCTAACCCTTCAGCTGTTAAATGAGCCTTTTGCTTTCATTAAATCCACAACTGTTCAAAAATCCAGAAAATAAGACATGCATGTGGGATTAGGTTTATTTTTTTATTAAACCCGGATTGTAAAGGCAATGATACGCAAGGATGTGGGACCCTATCGAGGAGGCGAAGCACGAAAATAAAGAAATTAACGAAGCACACAGAAGCCGCTATGTTATTGGACAACTGATTTTTTTTCTATTAGATATCTACCTTTATAAAGTTTTTTACTCTTTATATAATTACGAATCGTTTTTTAACTACAATTTAAAGCTTTTGCTACTTGACAGCCTGAAGAATAAGTTGTAGTTTCATTTGAATCAATATCAAGTACCTCTACAGCTGTACCATTAGCTTCACTAAGTTTAGCGGCCCTCCCTTCGGGAGCCGGGGCTGCGTCTCGCGCGCTCCGCGCGCGGACGCTTTCGTTTCTTCTGAACGAGTTTTTCCAAATCACGGATTATTTTTTCCTTTTTTGGCTTCACTAATTCTGGCTTTTGTTTCTTCAGAAAGGATACGTTCTCTCATTTTCGCGCCAAGGTGAGTTTCTTCTGAATGTTTGAACCCCAAAGATGACCCAGCTGTTGGAAGAATATTGTTTTAGGGCTTTAAAAGTTTTCTTTGTTTAATTTTATTAATAAAATACAAAAAAGCGGCCCATGGGGACCCCCCCCCCCCCCCCTGATTTTTGAGGGGGGGTCCCCAAGGGTAGTCCGAAAACGGGCCGATCAAGGTAATATTGTTATCTCGATATTACATCGGATGGTTCACAGTATTCCAGGATCTCAAGGCTAAAGTTAGAACGTCCGTATTTTTTCGATAAAGAGCGTCCCCTCTCTCGACTTCGCCTCCCCACTTTTCACAACTACTGCTCGTGTAGTAGTTTGAAAAGTGGGGAGGAGAGAGAGGGGATGCAGCCCTTTCACTCTCCCCCCAATCCATTCTACTACTCGCGTAGTACGAATGGATTGGGGGGCGAAGCTGAAAGAGAGAGAGAGAGGGGGCCGCTATAAATAGCACTTTTCCAGTTTTTTTTAATAAGTCTCCATTTTTTGTCTGAAAAATAATAGCTTAATCTAGCGGATAGATTAGCTCCACTCCCGATATAGGATTTTCCATTTATTTTATTTGTTCACCGATAGACTCCTGATTTTTCTTTGTTCTCCTGTAAAATCTGTTTCTTTTGAAGATCAGCATTGGAATATTTTTCAGCAGGAACCAGTAATAAAACAAAGCCATCTGTGCATATAGATAATGCAGATAAGCAGGTTGATAATTCTAAGAAAGCAGTTAATAGTAACACTAGAGCTCCTATAATTCTAATAAACAGGTTAAAAATATGTGTTTTGGATGTAGTAACTGGTACAGATCATAACGCAAAAATGAATCTGTGTAAAGCAGAAAACCCGAAAGATAAATAAAGCAAATGATATATATAGTTGTTCCTTGTAACATTTCAGAAGCAGATAAAAACTGGTAGTTTTATGGAAGGCAGAAAATAACCCATATATGACCATTCATCTTTCAGAACATCTCAGTATATGCATTAGTTCTCAACTAAATATTAATTCCGGCCTCAAAGTGACCGCACTGACTAACAATAAAAAAAATATAATAATTTTAACATTTATTTGCGATAAATTGTGCTAATAAGGATTCGAACCCAAAATTACCTTTTTATTATATATATCTCTTATAGAAGTATAGTTGAATTTAATTATTATTATATGGCTTCGCTAGTCGAAAATTAGCGTTCCTGTGTTTGAGTAAGTGTTATATATACGCTGTTATTAATATTTATTTTTTCTTTTAAGAAAGCGGCCCCCTCTTATTTATTAGGAGCCGGGAGGGGGGGTGCAAGGGGGGCGCGCTGCGCTCTTTTTCTTTTTTTCTTCGAAAAAAACTTGGAGCCCCCCTCGCTAATAGAATAGTAATGGCTCAATCTAATGTATAAATCTGCAGAACTCATTACGTATCCTCTTGCGTCTGGTATTGTATCAGAAGAAACTGCTTACTTTATACAGCCCTAATACCTAATTCACGGTTTTAACTCTAAACTAAAAATGATTTAACATATTACTTATAGAAGTATTATTAATCATTTATATTTATTCCCTATAAATAAATATTTATAGGGCTACCCCCCCCTACTATCAATGGGCGTAGCCATAAGATATTTGATGAAAATATTGCATCAGCCTTGCCTTTTTTATTGATTGGTAGGCTAGTCGGAGATATGACTCCCCCCCTATTTAGTATATGTATTTAGGTATTTTATACCTCAAGCATGCTGCATACACCTGAGCACAAAAATAAAAAAAAAACAAATAAAAAAGATGGGCGCTTCGCCAAGCGGAAGGGCAAGGTGGGTCAAGGCAAGAGCAAGGGAATTAAAGGGCAAGAGCAAGGTGAGGCGCCACTTTTTTGAGCAGGTCAAGAGCAAGGAGGCATGCCTTTACTTTACCCTATTAACTATATTCCCAGAGGGGCTGCATGCCGGCAGGGAGGGACGGAGCATACAAGAAGGGACAAAAACGACCCTCCCCCTCCCCCTGGAAGGGGGGGGGGAGGATTTTGTATTTTCGATTTTACGGTACAGAATTGACTAATAAAGGTTTAAATAATTTGTTTATTTTTAATCGATTATGCTAATCAGGACTCGAAGGGCAAAATTGCCAATTTTATACTTACTTACAGTGTAATATAATTAAATTAAATTTCTTAAAAGGGAAATTAAAAGGGGGTAAACCATGACTTGAACATGGAGCGTACTATTCCACAAATAGTTGTTCTACCTTTTGAACTATAAACCCCAGAATTTTCTTATAAAATGGCTAAACCGCCATTGACCCCCCCAGATCTTGGCTCCGCGTGCATGCGACCACTCGCATGCATGCAAGCATGCAGTACAGCTTGCAATACTTTTTCTATTAACAACCCTCCCCTCTCACCCCAAAAATTTGCTTATCAAGATGATATTTATGAAATAAATATTGTATTACTCATTCTATTGACACCTTTAGGAGCAAATTTACCCGGTTTTTCTGACGCCGTATGCTTAATTGGACTTCCGAGAGGAGTGTCAATTGAGGTCATCATACTTTTAAATTAACATTAAATTTAGATCAGGTATCCTTACATATCAAATTTATAGGCTTTATAAAATATCCGTAAGGTTTCCCTTCGTTATGGCCTCACCAACTCATTTCACTAAATCTGTACCCCACGTAAACCAAGAAATGTAAATAGTAATAGATCACTTCACCAAAAAAAAAAAGCAAGGATAATCCAAGGGGGGGTATGTGCGTTGAATTAAACTCAGGAGGCACTGTAATATCAGCTAGGAAATCCAAGCCTCCCCCCCCCTCCCCGGGGGGAGGGGGGATGCATCCCGCGCGCTCCGCGCGCGGGACGCTCCGGCTAGAAAATTACCAGGTCCTAAGTATGTCCCGTTGAATAAAACTGAGGAGGCACTGTAATATCCCACCCTTCTTTTCCCTCCGGCCCAATGATATATTTAAATAATGAAAATAAACTACCACACGATCCTAATTTGTTTTCGAGACCATTATTTATAATATTAACTAATACCAATTTGGCCACTTCTTTCACAGCCAATCAGCTCAGCCTCATGGGTTTGTACATAAGACCATTAAATGAGATAAATTTTCATTTCGCCCAAACATATTAACGACGCATTTTGACTTATTTTTAACTTAGGTTTAATTTAGGTTTAACTTGTTTAACCCTAAGCCCCTATTAATCCCCCTCATCAGGAGGGAGCGAGTGATGTACAAATGTCCTCAACCGGGGTTCAGGCTCATATGCTGGAATATAAGTGGATAAGAGGTTTGAGTTCTCTTATTGTAATCCCTGTTATAGCTACAGGATTTCTAAGATATCCCACATTTTGGAGCAGCCATAATCTACGCGATCAATGTACTATGTTTAAAAATACCCCTCTCAAAAATTGAGAGGGGGTAGGCCGAGTGGATGACACAATATCCCAATCGGTTCAGACAACACTTAATTTAGTCCATATTCTTGCAACAGGATTACGTAAGTAATCTCTATCGAAGAAGTCCGAGTCTATAAGAATATGATTTCATCTTACTTATAGAAAATAATAATATCATTTGTCTCAAACTGTACCAATTTATCCATAATAAATCACCGAATAGGTCAAAAAAAAAAAGGTAAGTACCAGCGAAAAAGGAACCATCGAGAGGACACGGATCGTCCCATAACAATACCAGACCCTCACCTAGATTATTTATCACTGTATCCTTATAGCACTCCCGTACGGGACAATCAACGTTAAAGAGTATAGTATTTTCCTAATAATAAAAAAAAACAAGCATGTGCGTACAGGTAAACAGAAAAACAAGCATGTGCGTACAGGTAAACAGAAAAAAACATCCCACCGATAAAACCTCCTATTTGGTCGAGAATCCCAAAACTGACACTTCGGGGTTTAGCTTAGCCATCGCGGTACCTTATAAGTAAAACAAATATATGTATATATTAGCAATCTGATCTGATTTTGTTTTTAAAACAACGAGTATTCATACCTAGAAACCTACAGGTACAACATGGTTGGTTAAATACACGAATGTATCATGTATAGCTTGCTCATGTTGAGGCGAGTTCAGGTTCATGTAACCACCCGTGAGTCCAGCAACCCTATTAGCACCCATAGGAACCATTCTATAACTCCCATACCTAAATATTTGGAAGGCGGGGTGATTGTCGAATTGACTTCTCGGACCGAAGTACTCGAAAAAACGTATTTGATTCCCGATGATCTCAATACCGTAACAAGAATCGTCCATACTACTGTTCTCCTCCAGAGCGGTGCTCAGTTGGTATTCAGTGTTACTTTGCTGAGTTTCTGTTGGTATTACGGTCCCTCGAATTGTCGGCGATAAACGTTTACATTCCACCATTACATTGTCTGTAAAATCGGTACCGGGTTGATGGAAGGTGTTGACGATAAAATCCGGTATGTTATGGTTACGGCCTTGCTGAGGGGCTACGATGAAACGGTCTAAGGTGAAATAGTAATATAGTATAGCGTTTGTACTTCTTATAACCTTTTCCTCCAAACCACCTCGATCAGCTCGTTCGACCGCATGGATACTTTCCATAATTGTTGGTATGGTGTAGTATGAATTCATTTTTTTTCTAAGTAATTGTCAGTTCAAAAAACATGTTTTAATCAGTATAGGTCAGAAAGTACATACATTTGGGTAAAAAAAATATGATAAAGAGGTGAAGTATTTGTTAAAGAGGAGTGGAGTTGAGTTGAGTTGAGTTGAGTTATTTGACGGTGGTGAAGAGTGTAGTTATTTGACGGACTGAAGCTGGTCCTTTATACTTTATTTAACAACAAGATCTCGGTTAAAGGACTATTTAGTCACACCTTCATTATCTCAGTCGAATAAAAATCAAATGATATGCTTATCTTTCATACAGTTGTACGCGTCATCTTGTTGATCCACCATACAGTTGGACGCGTCATCTTGTTGATCCACCTTACAGTTGGACGCGTCATCTTGTTGATTCATACTGTATGGGTCTTCTACTTCATCTCCGGTCCTATTTTCTTTTAGAGTCATAAGGGTGCTTATCTTATTACCTTGTCGTACAACCTCATCGTGCTATGCTTATCTTACCAACACGGCTACATTTATCAAACCAAACCGGCAGGTGCTTATCATACCATGTAATCATGATAGCACGTAACCATATTGTTGGTAGTAGATGGTGGACGGTGCTTATCTTACATCCACACCATAGAGTGCATCTTGTTAGCTCATAGGGGCGATGCTTATCTTGCTTCCTCTCCTACGACTGCATGCGGTCATCTTGTTGAGTCAAAGAAGTGGCGTGCTTACCTTGTCACCTCACCATAGGTTGCACCATTTAGGCTTATCTTTAATTAGTCGTGTGTCATTTGTGTGGGTGAGATATTTGGAGGGGAATGCTTATCGGAAGGTGATAGACAAGGTGGCGGAGTGAGATAATTTCCAGTATACACATGCACACAGCTTATCGTAAGATCATGACGCGGCCTCCGTCGATCAACACAAACATGGGATATTCAGATCGAACCAATGAAATATCATCCTCCGATAATGGCTATCACGGGAAGGGCTTGTCCCACCAATCACATATTTGTAGCCTTAATGAGTCAATAGATTCCGATAATTGAGCCATTTATTGCGTCATTTAACCGATCGATAACGCGATTTCCACCAAAGGGGTCTGTAGCCTGTCTCAAATACAACTATGCCTCCTACACATACGCTGCATTCCTCGAATTTTCAGAAACACAAACATGGGTCTCCGCCCGCCGATAAGAAAACGCCTATCATACGTAATATCATAAGTTCCAGCGGGGCAATCAATCTTAGCGAACGCCACCTAACAATCCGAGGTGAGGGGGTGTGAGTACAATTTGCTCCGCCGGCTTATCTCTTTAATTAAATACCGCAACTAGTCGGCGATTACGCGTCTCGTATAACATATCACATTTTAATCTATTCCCATATCTCAATCATAATTAAATGCCGCTACTACGTCAGCGATTACACATCTCGTATAACATATCACATTTTAATCAATTATCGTATCACAATCCCTAACTCTTTGAGCGCTAACCTGAAACCTAAGCTTTGCCACGAAGGAGTCGATCAACCGGAACACCCTTTTCCGAAAAAACCTACCCTTTCATTGAATTTTCGAGAATGGTGGCAACGCCACTCCTACACCAAGCGTCCGCGCGTAGCGCGAGACACATCCCCCCCCAGGAGGGGGGGACGCTATATTAATAAATAAGACACCTGTGACCCTCCGATAATTTCCCAACTTCAATTCATCAACATACAACTACTTCACAATCAACGCTAAAGACACTAAATCCTTAATTTTCCCGACCGGCTCCTTTTATTTTAACTTTCTCGCTTATCTCTGATTCCGAAATATCGCATATCACCTATATCGAAATGTCCTACATCCAACATATCCATAACCTACCACCTTCTTTCTCAAACCACATCTTCTTACTAGCAACACTGCTCCTTATGTGGGAATCGAAAGTCCCAACCATTCACATACCCTACTACCTAGAAGACGACTCCTACATTCATAAAATTCGAAGACATGGTGACAAACACACGACCGAGGGCCGAAAGGATGTGTGGTCCGTAGTATATACCTTATACCCTAGAACCTCACTGAATGATTTATTCCACAACCTAAGAAACGCCAACAGTATTTCCTTTATCTTAAACCCTAAAGGCGTCCCCTCTTGGGACCCCCCCCCCCCCCCCCCTCAAAAATCAAAAAATCAGGGGGGGGTCCCATGAGGGGATGCCGCCCCCCTCATGGGACCCCCCCCTGATTTTTGAGGGGGGGTCCCTAGACCTCTCTCAATAAAATTGAGAGAGGGTAATTCGGGGGGGCGACTACTGGGAACGTATAAGGAACGTTTACTCAATGTTCCTCATCCTCGAGGCGATTAAGCACAGGTACCTTCTAAACCATAACGTTACACTAGGGGAGGTGGATAACGCTGATTCGGAAACACCCACACTATACAGGAATGAAGTCAACGCGGAAGAAGACACGCTACAGGGGAGATCACACTTCAATAAGGCCCTCTCTTTTTTTTTTGATAAAAAAAAAACCTCTCTCAATAAAAATTGAGAGAGGGTAGTTCGAGAGGGGCGGCGCCGATCGATGCCGCTGTGAGGACGGACGATCCATTACAGAGGAACTCGTATACCCTTATCAACGAGAACCTATGGAAATGTCAAACATACATCGAATACGCTATAAAAAAACAGGAGTTGGAGCATGTGGTAGGTGGTGATACCATAACAACACGTCTTGTTGATGAGGAGGAAACCATACAATCCCTTCCGACCAGAACACCTAGCCCCATATCATCTAGATCTACAACCGCTACCCTCGAACATTCTGAATCCTATAAACGAAAACTCACACAAAACATCGAACTAGATGATACTACTGAACACCACATTCATAAAAGAGCGTCCCCTCTCTCGAAGAGAGAGGGGATGCAGCCCCCCTCATGGGACCCCCCCCCTGATTTTTGAGGGGGGGCGGCTCCCAAGACCTCTCTCAATAAAATTGAGAGAGGGTAATTCGAGGGGGCCGCTAGATCAACTTCATCTGAAAAGACAGGAGGGTGCGGGGAAGATATCACAAAATTTTCAACATCTACTACATCTACATCCTCAACGCTTCAAGGAACTAACATTAATCCACAACAGTCGTCGTCGTATAAAAATTTTCGAGCAGTCCGACCGGTGAGACTTCCGAAAACGAACCCTTAAAATACCTTTTCATTTTTAATTTTTAAAAAAAAAATAAAAATGAAAAGGGCGGGGCCCTCCCCACCGTTTATTTCAAAGAAATAAATGAGAGGGTAGGGGCGGGGCCCATGATGACACATAGAAACGAAGAGGGATCGCACACTCGAACCAACATTAAAAAGCGATATCGAGCCGTCAAAAGGGTAGTGGCATCCAGGGAAAAAACATCCCTGGAAGACAACCTCTCCCAGAATAGACGTAAGATAACTACCCTCACACCATCTCTCACTCATATACTAAGGTGTAACCTATGACAACACTAGGAGAAGTAAACGATGATCCAACTATATTTCCATATTTCGATATTTAATCTAAACGCCCTTTGGATAATCTTGGAAGGTGATTACCACAACCAACAAATAAGCAGGGAGTTTTGGTAGGGTCTGATGTTGTGACGAGGTGTTATGAACTGGGTGTTTTGGGGATCTTATTTCTTTTTGGTTGTTTTGGTTACGGAATGTTTGAGGTTGTTACGGTTTGTTCGAAATTCGTACAAAATTGTTAGAGATTGATATTTTTTTTTTTACCTCTTTCTCCGTACCCCCCCCCACGCAGTGGGGGGGGGGAATCGGAGAAAGAGGGTAGACCGGGCGCAGCCCAGCCCTATGACATTGTTTTATACCCTCCGAACATTGCTTTTTTTCACGGTAGCACATGATACATTACGGTTAATTTAAGCCATCTTTATTGATTCGTCTTGTTAATATAAGTTTTATACCATCATCATGATTTATTAAATATAGATGGTTAATGATGTATAATGATTAACGCTTAATAGGTTAGACTTATTTTTAGGTTACGGTTAGGTTAGTTAGGATTACGGTTACGGTTGCAGTTACGATTAGGTTAGGATACGGTTAGGAAAGCGAGGGGTTGCCCCGAAGCATCCCCCCGGTAGCTTCGCAACCGGGGGAAGCTTCGGGCAACCCCTCGCTTACTTCATTTACGTGATAATGATTATAGAAAGAAGTAGGCTTATGTTATAGGTTACATACACATTTTCCGGACCTAGAGATAAGCAAAATCAAAATTTCGGTCACACATGACGCATCATTTGAACGAATATTTTAATATCAAAATCGATTGAAAATCTAGACAAATAATAATACCCTTAAAGTTTAAACTATATCTTATAACGAAAATAAAAACAAACCTTTTTCTCTAAAATATACACATTATCATTTTTCACATTATTTATTATTTATACCCTAGAGCATCCCCCTGCCCCCCTTTTCTCCCCCTTAATTTTGAGGCGTAGCAGCCCCAGCCTGCCACAGGCCGGCGTGGGGCTAACTCGAGAGAGAGTAGAGAGAGAAGAGAAGAAGAGTATGGGGGGAAAAAGGGGGCAGGGGAGATGCAGCCCCCTGGAAGGGGGGCCGCTACACGCATAGAACAGAACCGTAGACCGGGGAAAAGGAAGTGAGGCTAAATGAGGTTAGTTGTGGATATGAGTGATAATCCCGTTACCTCCCTGACGAAGATTAGCCCAGAGGAGAAGTTAGGACTATACCCATAAGAACCCTTCATATTATTCAGAGGTCAGGAAAGGTGGCAGGAAGGCGACAGAACCTATACCGCGACCCTATACCAAGGGATACAGAACGCTACCTTTAAGTGGGAGGATCGCAAGCTGAAGCTCGCTTTCCTCCTCCCACAATGCGACATACGGCGAAAGGGAAGGGTAGGAGCTCCACCAAACAAAGCGTCCCCTCTCTCTTCGAGAGAGGGGATGCAGCCCCCCTCAT